TCGAATCGCGACTACTTATCATGGCGATTTTTCTCATCTTCCCCTTAACGTCGTCGATCTTCGCTCGCTTATTACATCAAAATGCGCCGCGCGAAGTTACTTTTTGCCACTGCGACTTCTCTCCCTCGTGTGAATTATATACTCGTTCAAATTACCCAGCACCGACGGATTTCCAGAATACGTAGCCGGGAACAGGAGAAGATACGTCTTCGACGCGAAACGCACGATCGAAATTTTTTTCTCTTTTTTTTTTTTCTACCTCTCAGTTCAGTTTCATTCTCGCTGCGTGTATCCTAACTGAGTATCGTGTTTAGTGTGCAACAGAGTCAACTGTTCTCCCTTCTATTTATGTCTTAAAACATGTTGTCATTCCGATTTATAAGTCGAATGATCGTAGTCAAAAATTACATAGGTATATAGTATAAGTATTTGGACACCTGGTTGGAATTCAATCAAAAGGTTGATATTTGTATTCTACGTTACGATAGCAGAATGCTTCTTCCTTTGCATTTTGTCGTGACATGGTATCAAACATGGCTCTTCTAAATTTCAATTGAAACAAGAAATATATCTGCATCATTCGGAATCTATGCTTGCCTGCAAATGAATAATTGAATCTTCAAAAGTATAAAACTTCTAGAATGCAATTAGAAGCACATGTAGTCGCACTAAGATTTTAACATTAAAGAGATATACACTTGTGATATCACTTGTGATTCTGAGGGCCAATTTCATCCGCTTTCTGTTGGTGCTTTTTTATTTATACTGACAACTGTGTACGGTTGCCTGAGATAGAATCAAAGATGAAAATTAGATGTACGAGTTCTCGTTCGAAATATATTTTACGATATGAAAGTGTCCAAATACTTATGCTTAGCAGTATACAAACACCATGCAATGGTGTAGGATCCACCTCGGTTTCCGTGAAAGATGCACCACTGTAACATCAGAACGCGAGTCGAGTTTATTTTAACACTTCTAAATATCAATGAACAGGTATCCCAGATTTACTGAAAAAAAGTATCACTTAATAACGTTGATTTGTCAAGAACGTATATACTTGGGAATTAATTAAATTGAAACGAATTAACGAATCGACGCAATTGTAATTCGTGTGCATCTTCATCGACACGAGATTTAAAAACGCCCGTTGCAGGTGGAAGGATCCAACGAATACCGACGAGGTATTCGCATTTCAAAAAAGTTAAGAAGAGAGAACGCTGAAATGGTAAAAAAAAAGAAAGAAAAAAAGAAGTGATATAAATTCCAATGAGCGAAATGTTCGAGCTTTGTTTTTACGTTACCTATCGGCTCCAGTCTACGGTCGAGAAGAACAAGCAAGCAATTCTGTCCGATTGCTTCGTCCCAGCATTAAGACCGCCGTCCGCGAACGAAACTGGTGACGAGTGTCGAAAATTGCAAGGGGGCATCCGCCGACGATAATACCCGCGCTTCTACGAGCGAAATCGGTTACCGCGTCGGTACCTGATCTTCAAACAAGTGAGTGTAACGTGAGCTTGTCACCGCGCGATGGCTCTCCTGACGTCAGGATACCTTCGTTTCATCCCCACTAATTTGCAACGAAAAAGAAGGGATGCTTGAAATACACAGAGATATATGAAAAATGCACGAAGTTCATGGGAAACATTTTCATAGAAAACCGGTAACAGAATGCTGATGCCCAATGAAAATTTGTTTTTGATTCCAGGAGGATCTTGCATACATATGTACATTACATATGTTATATTATTTCTCTCCAAGGTACGTAAGAATATACTCTGTACATTTATGCAAGCTTTCCTTAAAAAAGTCTAATATATACTCGCAGAAACTTCATTAAGAATAACCGTATTTATGTAAAAATTATGTAATATCGTCTGATAACATGTATAAAAATATTTTACATGTATAAAAATATATTTTGCAAACTATATAATTACATAGATCCGTCTATCTGTCTAGATGCTTGGTGAAGGCAGTTTTATTTCATCTTAAAAATGAAATTACAATGTGTTTTATATTGTCTATATATATATATATATATATATATATATATATATATATATA